ACGTGATGCAGGATTCTCAGTGAGGCTAAAATCAAGGTGGCATTTGAATCAACCAACTGAGTCACTCAGAGACGAACTTTTTCGGCTTAAGGACTCGTTAAATCCAATTAAGAAAAACAATATCATTTACTAAGTACCATGTAATGATTGTTAGTTTGGTTAATTACATAGGTCAGTCAAACTAGTAAATTGGGGAATGTAGCTAGACCTAGAATGGTTGTCCCTGTTCAATTAAATAGCGTAGAAAAAGGCTCAGCCACTGCATTGCATTTACTTGCATGTATTCACAAAATACGGTGGTAAGGATAGAGTGAGGGTATTAAAAAGGACTGTCGTTAGATGTAGGGACAAGGAGGTAAATCACTGAAGCTTTGTTTATCTACTTAACACCGCATGCGTGCAGTCAAAATGACACAGTGCCTATACTGGAGATATGGAAAGTGGCGACAAATAACAAAGGGAAGTTGAAAAGAGGGAGAAAGAGAGGAAATATAAACAAGACTGATTGTAAGGTCGTGTGGCATAACTGATATGATTATGGGCAGCAATAATTTATGCTGGAAACCTTGTCATCCAGTTGTTAATAATGCATTATCACTGTGTGTTATATTTGAAATAAACTTCATTCATTTATTCCTCTTGATGAATTTGAATAAGGCAAAAACAACAGTTTGGTTTGTGCAGAACAAGAAGATGGTACCATCATTGTTTATTTCGTTGGCTTGTGATCAGCTCAACTGCTTACAGACTAAATAAATTACTCAGGTTTATGTACAGAAAAGTTTTAACATACTTCCAAATTTTTCATGATATCAGTTGATGGAAGATTCCGTAATTAATGAACAGTGCTCAGAAAATTGCGCTGATATCGTTTTTACACAGATAGTTCAAATTTAAACAAAATAAATGTATGCATGCAATGATAAAGTGGTTGCGTAATAAAGACAAGAGATGCGTAAGATGCAGAGTGACTAATAAATTAGGTAACAATATACTGAGCTCAACTCAAATCATAGAAAGAAGAGACAAGCAAAATTACACTATATCAAAGTGAGGGGTGAGTTTAAAGCCAAAGATTACGTAATCGTATGAAAGAGAGAGTGAAGACATCCAGTTACCAAGCGAGTCAAAGAAAGACTGATAACTGCTTCTTTCTGAACACATAAATCTGATTTCAAGCGTTTGACAGAAACTGTTTCGACAAACTTGAGGAGAGTCGAGCTGCTTTTTCTATTGATAATTTCAAAGGATTTCACGATTTCCACCTGATGACGCGTATTGAGGAGACGTCTGGTAATAGTGATATTATAAGAGTTTGTCCCATCGAGACGTAGGCTTTTCGGCACATGTTCGAAAAGTCGGAAGTGTGCCCTTCATTCTGTCAACTGATATCATGTAAAATTAGCAAGTATGTTAAAACATTTTTGTACATAAACCTCATAATTTATTTAGGCTGCAAACAGTTGAGCTGATGAGAAGCCGACGAAATAAACAATGGTGGTACCATATTATTCTGCACAAACCACACTGTTGTTCTTGCTTTATTGAAAAAACTTATCGAATATGGTATTGAACAACATTGTTTTATTTGTGCAATTTTATTGCACAATCTTATATGGTATACAGAAAAAAGAGACACCGTTTCTTTCTTCTATATCACAATTTGATGCATTTTTGGAGTGTTGAAGGTTGGTTGATGTTTAATTTATTGCACAACTCCGTTTTTATTTCGCACAATAATCTACCGGGTTGTAGTGTGATGCAAATGGACTGGAAATGGACCAACAAAAATCGACTTTTATTGCTTTGATACATAAGTCGATTACCCCGTGACAAATTCACTAAGTAGACAGCAGAATTTTTTATTTTCATTATCATTATTATTATTTCGTCCTTTAGTTCCTAAAGGAACATAGGGCTTCAGCTGCAGGTAACCATTGCGTTCCCTCCTCCGTCAACGTTTTCACCTGGTTCCACGTCTGCCCACAGGCTTTCATCTCCTCCCCTTCACATGACCTTCTTCATGTTACCTCACTCTCACACTGACGACCAACTTGTCGCTTCCCATTCGGTTTCCAGTCGAGCGATGGCCTAGTGTGTGATGTCATCTACTTGATGACGGTTTGTTTTCTCAAAGTATGGCCAGCCAATCCACCTCCATTTCTTCTATCATATTTTCTTGCACAATCGGTTCCTACTGGGTTGGTTCGCTGATTGCCAGAGATCCCTCACTATTGCTGATCTTTTCTGGCCTGCCATCTGATCCTGAGCAGTATTGAGCGAAGACAGCTGTTGATAAAGGTCTGTGGTTTGTTCGAAGTGGCCTTCATAACGCGCTAAGTCTCTGATCCGTATAGTAGCACTGACTTCACATTGGACTTGAAAATCCGTATCTTATTTTTCATGCTGAGTGCTGCTGACTACCACACAGACTTGAGAAAAATAAAAGCTTGTCTTACTTTCCTGATCTTCAATTTGATCATCTCATCAGTTCCGTCAGCCTGTAGTTGAAAAGATGCTTCCCAGGTAGGTAGGTTGGTGGGTGGGTAAAGGAGGTTGATTCTTTCAGATTTCTCGCATTTATTCTGATTGTTGTCTGTTACTGTTGCTGCTGTTGCTGTTTGCCAGGAATCTTTATCACATACTTCTGTTTTCTCTATGTTCACCTGGAGGCTTACCTTTTATGCTTCTTCTATCGCCAACTTGTTGCTTTTCACTTGCATATCTTCCAGTTTGTAGGAAATCGGACAAATATCATCGGTGAAGTCCAGGTCCCCTAAGAGAGACTATTTTTCTGTCTATTTTCATAGAGGTAATGAAAATCTGGTATAACGATCGTGTTACTGAAGTGTTGGTTTGCAGGGATTTCATCATGAACTGATATCACTTATAGGACCATTGAAAATTCACTAAGGAGTACTGGATAGTCAGCTATCTCGTCCTAGTTCGGGACTCTTCAACGGCACGCACTTATTATTAGGGTTAGATTTCAGGACCTTCCGGTTACAAGGTGAGCCCGTTGATCATGCCTTTCTCTAGATAAACTCTTTGATTTAACCAAACGATTTTAGCAGTTGATAGTAGACAGTCATAGTATTAGAATAGCATTCATTCTTACCATATTCACTGCAATCATAAAATATGAACAATTAGTTAGGGGATACCAGTGAATTTAAAAGTTCCAACCGAATATAGTCTGTGACTGTCATCTTACTAGATAACTGTTATTATAATTACTATTCTCTTGGTTTCCAAGAGGAATATAAGTCTTCAACAAAACATCTCCACTTTCGTCTATTTTCTGCTGTCCTTCTCATCTAGGTCCACCATTATAAATAATCTGTCATCCCCCCCTCCAACCCACACAATCTCCTCCATCTCACACTCGCACCGACAAACCACTCGCTGTTTTCCATTCGCATTCCATGTAACATGTAACAGTTTGAAAATCATTTTCGTGACATGCAGTACCAGTTTCCAACGTATGTGAAAGGACTGCTTTCATATTTGCCTTAAAAAGTGGAATCGATTTTGTTCGTCATGCTAACTGAGTGAGTGCGAAGGATTTCCTAACTTGTTTCAGGTTGATGAAGGTGTATCTTGCCTTTCCGATTCTGGCTGGCTGGCGGGCGTCGGTTAGGAGTCTCGCCGACTATGCACATGGCCCGGAGTTTGATCATCGACCAACGCACACCCGATATTAATGGTCGGCCTGCAAAATCAGGCTACTGATATCACATGCCGAAATTTCCATACTTGTATCAAAAATACTGTGTGCAGTCAAGCTATGATAAAATCTTTTTAAATAATGCTGTCACCTGTAGTTGGAACGATGCTGGGTGCCTAGAAAGATGAAGGAAGTAACCTCTATCAAATCTCCCCCGTTGGTGGTGACTGGTGCATGGTCACTAGATCACTGAGGTTCTTTACTACCTCTGCCTTCTCTATGTCCACATGGAGTCCTGTCTTCTCTATCATCTTCTTCTAACAACTAGTTGGTTTTTGCCTCTAAGTTGTCAAGTTTGAGAGGTATTAAGCATAAATCATCTGCGAAATTCAGATCTTCCAGAGTCTTCTTATCGGTAGCCCAGCGTATTCCTGTCTTGCCGCTCCTCAGACACTGTTTGCCGCATAGTCCAGTCCACCATAATTAAGAATATCATAGCCTTGTCTTACTCCTGTATGCACTCTAAACGCCTCACCGAGTTTACCGTTTTGGATCACCTGATATGTGGAATTGTCATATATCTGTTGAATAAGGTTGATAAAGCTTTGGTCACTGCACTCTATAGTGTTGAAGTAGCTTCCGAATCGCTTCACCGCCAACGCTTTCTAAGACCTTTAAAATGTCACAGGCTGTGGTTTGCCTGACAATAAATTTGTTGCATTATATCAAGAGGTTTGATTTAACTGGTATTTTCCAAAAGACGAAGAAATAAGATAGCGAGTCGGTATTTCAGCAGTAGAGTACTCGCCAACCATGTCACTCGTGGCCCAGGGTTCGATTCCCAGCCGACAACGTAAACCTAGACCTCGCTCAGCCGTCGATAAACCCGGTAAACTGGGAGGATTAGGCGCAAGGCTAGCAACCTCACTCAATAATAACATAGCTCCACTGCTAGTGAAATATCAAAACTCAAGCTTGAAGGCATGTTTTCCACTCGGAACATAATGGAATAAAATAGTAGAAAACAATAATTTTTTTATCCCTTTATGTTTCCAGTGGAACATCGAGCTTCATGCTGTAGGCTTAAAGTTTCTGTAGCAGTAGTGATTATTTTTACAGGATGGGGTTGCTAGCCTCATCTGGTCCAAGCTTCCCTCTTTACCATTCTCTAACTACTGGTTTAGCGAAGTAAAAAAGTGATTGCATCGGCCAGGAGGATAGAACCCCGGACCAGATGAGGCGTGGTCGGCAAGCGTTCTACTGCTGTGCCACTGACGCTGAAAACAACAATAATAATACATAATAATAATAGTGAAATTCTCTAGCAACTCACTTGTTGTATAGCCCATGGCATGACTAGGATAGATGTGCCCATCATCGTATTCCATATTGAGAAACTAAAAACGATAATAGAATAAAAACGAACGAAAATTGAAAGGTTTTTCAACACATGTACTGAGAAAGTCAAAAATGTCAAGTTAGCAGGTTGATATTTCTGTGTGTATGCTTCGAATATCAGTTAACGTTAAATATAGATATATGACTATTTGTAAATTGCATAATTCCGTCAAAGATTTGATTTCTACCACGCACTCCCCGCTCATACACGCAGAACACGCACATCGTGTACCAAAAATCGTAAGGTCTTCAAATGTTTTGTGTAGATAGATGAAATATAGTGACGAATAAGTCTCATAACTGATATCAGCCTTCCTTAACTCGATACCGTAAATCAGGTGGTGACCAGCCAGAAATGATAAAAAAAAAACATAGAAGTGTTGTGGCACAGAACCAACCAACACACAAGCGTCTAACAAATATTCAGAAAACAAATGGAGGTTGGCTGGGTATATACTGGGGATACTGTTGAGTAATACCACACTCCAGATCGTTGAGTGGAATCCAAAGGCGAAGTGACCAAGTTAAAGTATAGTGGTCGAGGTCTGTGGACGAACCAATGATCTTGGAAGCATAGTAGTCGTTAGATAACGGGACCTACCATTGTTATAGCGCCACTATGAAATAAGTGAAATGGAAATTCTATCCCGATTTCATTTTAAAGCACTATTTTGGTATGTACAACAGACAACAATCAGACAGCCTAAATGGAGGAATTCTGATAGAAACAACCTCTTTCACCTACCTACCTACCCACCTACTTACTTTACTTTACTTCGCCTATCTCCTACGGGAGGAGACTCTACCTACCCACCTACCTGGGAAGCTTCGTTTCAACTACAGGCGAATGAAACTGATGAGGATATCAAAGCAAGAATCGGAAAAGCAAGACAAGCTTTCACTACTTTCAAGTCTGTGAGGAGACGAACAGCACTCAGCATGAAATTTAAGGTCTGGATTTTTAACTCCAGTGTAAAGTCACTGCTACTATACGGATCAAAAACTTGACGACGAGTGACGAAGGGCACTTCAAACAAACTACAGACCTTCATCAGCAGCTGTCTTCGCTCTATACTCAAGATCAGATAGCCGCCCAGAAAACATCAGTGACAAGGAGGGATCTCTGGCAATGAACGAACCTACCCAGCAGTTACCAATTGTGCAACAAATATACGGGAAGGAATGGAGTTGGATTGGCCATACTCTGAGAAAACAAATCATCAAGTGATATCACACGCCAGGCCATCACTCGAGTGGAACCCGAATGGGAAGCGGTGAGTTGATCGTCAGTGTGAGAGTGGGGTGACAAGAATGAAGTCATGCGAATAAGAGATGGAAGCATGTGGGCAGCTGTGGAGTCAGGTTAAAAATTTGGCAGAGAACCGGACGCAATGGAGGCGTCTGGCTGAAGCCCTGTATTCCTCTAGGTACTAAAGGAAACCATAATAATAATTTTGTTTTGTCGACAGCAATGGTCACGATTAAGATTAAGTTTGGGGTTGAGATTAGGTTTAGAGTGTCTTATTCTTGCTATCTGTATTTTTCTGGTAAATAGTTTCCAATCCCTCTACTAGGATCCACACTAGTTTAATCTAGGGTATTTGAAGAAGACTGAAAAACAGGATAAGAAGGATAAATCGGTCACAAAAAGAACTCATATTCAGTTGACTCAATGAATACATCTACGGTAGCTGCCCAAACCTCAAAGCTGATACTTCTCATCATAACTGGAAGACATTTTTAGGTCACGTTGGGGAAAAATATCCTGTATAATTTACTTTAACATTAGTCTCTATATTTCTCCTTTAAATAAATATCATTTCAAAGTAAAAACCACTGGTTTCTTAGATTGATCACCTCAAGATGATTCGCGCAGATGCATCCCATGGATCAATACAGTTGAACTTTGATTGAACTCTAGTTAGTCTCTGATGTAATATGTGTGTCTAGCCCTATCTTTGTTGCAGTCTGAATTCTATCAATCAAGTTTTCGATGTAGCCCCCATGCCACTAGGTGGCTCACCATCACATTGCACTTTCTTTTATTACAGCTTGATGCCACACCGTATTTTCAGTACAAGTATGGAATTTTCAGCATGAATATCGGGTGTGCGTCGGCAGGGGATCGAACCCCGGACTATGTGCATGGTTGGCGAGAGTCCTAACCACTTTGCCACCGACGCACTTTGAATTGTTGATATTATACGGTTGGAGGCAATCGGCACGAAGAAGCCTTGGACCTAGGTTTAGTGCTAGTTGGCACTCACCAGCCAATACGACATATCTTCAACCAGGTTGAAGGAACTCATGTCCCTTCTGAGATTCACCCGTCCACTGCTACATTCAGAGACATTACCAATGAGCTATTCAGGCTCAGTAGTTGAACTTTTCTTGCGAAGTGACCTGTACGTCCAGTGTCTAAGTTCGACGTAGAATAGATCATTGGAGGTGGGAATGAAATATTGTCAGTTGGGAAGAAAATCAAGTAGAATCAAGATATGCTGTGAAAATTGTATGTTTCACCTGAATCGTAAGAAATGAATAATGGGAGATAGCAGTATCGATGATCTTGTTAATTTTTATCTGCGGTTCACTGGTAGGATGTTCGTTAAACACACAAGTAGACGGGTTTCGATTATTAACCGATGCACTCCTCAACTTTGTCCAGCTTAGCAGTCAATCGTAAGCCCGGAAAGAAGACAGGTTTGGGCATGAGGTTATTGACGAAACCCCCTCAAAGAAAACACACAACATTTTCGCTACTGAAAGTTTAATAGACTGAAGCCCTTTGTTTCACTCGATTCATGAGGAATAAAAAAGGGACTTTTGATGTGGACATTTTATTACCAGAGTTGAAGCAAATACTGACTAAAATGCGTACTAATGGTGTGGTTATCAGGTGTTTGTTTGCAGGGATTCGATTTGTACCAGTTTCTTTCCCGAGCTGATATCATTTAGACAACCATTAGAAAACAAGGGAGTAATAGATAGCAGCTTCGTCCTAGCTTCAGCCTCTTCATCAGCACTCATCGTGTCAGCTGAGAGGAAAGTTACTCACTAATGATATTAGTTGATGGTTGCGTTGAATGGTCTGTGAGCTCACCTTGTAACTGGAGAATCTTGGGTTCGAACCTCCGTGGATGGGTACTGATAAGGTGTCTGAAACCAGGATGAAACAGCCACCCTGCACTCTGCTTCTTTTCAATGCTCGTCTAACTGATAACAGCTGTTGCTTGCAACAGAATCTAGATAAAATTGTATGACACTTCTTCCATCTTTCAAACGTATACTAATATCCATTCTAGGTGGAATTAGGTGAATGAATATCAACATTTATTGAATTTTTGAGATGGTTGTTCAGTACTCCCAGATTTTCAACTCAGGCAAATGATAATAATAAACTATGTGAATTTATGTATAAAAATGTGATTGTACATCTTTCAGGAATGAAAATGCCAAGAACAATTCATCTGTTTTGATTTTAAATGGTTGGAGACAATCCGTAGCCTTAAGTTTCGTGCCTGTTGGCGCCCACTACACTCATCAAGATGTATCTGTAATCTTGAAGGAACACTCACCAAATGCACTTATTCAAGGACATGGACGCATTACATCTCTTCCCCAAAGTTCCTGTTCTTCCCACTCACTCTTTAATATCCTGATGGATAATATGCCCAAGAGTCTTCTTACTCACCGGAAAACATACATAACTTGACAGTGGTATTAGTTATACAGGATACATATCTTAAGTAAAATTATGAATTTGATGAATACTCTTCATCCTGAGGTACGACAGTAATTGAACATTTCTTATTACTATTATTACATAGTTTTCTTGTTAATTTCTTTAATTCATGAAAAATTCCCATTGTAACAAATAGAAAATCAAAACATGTCATTCAACGAAGAGACTCTTTTCAACAACGAATTCGTTATCAAGCTGTACAATCCTGTATATATAGGATGTACATAACTTGGAAGGGGTGTGCAATTATACGATTAGTAGGCAAATGGAATAAAATAACAACGTTATGTAATATTGTGTGAAATTTAGTAGCATAGAATTTAACATTGCAAGACAGAATTGATTTAGAATGACAAGTGGAACAAGTGAAACGATACCGAGGACAATTCGAAGTGAGAATAGTAATAGTAACAATTGAGGTAATGCAGGAGGACTATACAAACTGACATTTACATTCGGTGCATATGTAGCATTGATTCTTTGGAGGATGAGTTAAATCTTTTGAGGAAAATTCTAATAAAAAATGGATTCCCACAACATTTTATAGACAAGAATATACATTCAAATCCTATCAAATGTGACTTATAATCCGTAACCAAGGAAATATTGTACATGAGCTTGGAATTCAAAAGTGACTTAGCTTCCAATATCATGAAACGAAGGATATCACAGTCCCTGAAAAGAACATTTTCCTGCTGCATCTCTGAGAATAACCTTTACCAGTCGACCATTACTGTTCAATCACCTGAAGGTAGAGATCCTCCTGTTGACCAACTCCATGTGCGTTTATCAATTTACCTGCTCATGTGAACCTAGGTATATTGGTCGTTCGACTCGAGTTTTGTCCAAGAGGGCGCAAGAACACTATCCTGCATGGTTACGAAGAGATGGAAGTGGAGCAATAAGAAGCGCGATCACTGAACACTTGGTCGACAATGATCACCCTATCTCTATAGCCCCCGGCTTTAAAGTCATCTACAAGGCACAGAGTAATTTACCCAAATCCCTACGTACCCAACTCATCTGTATTGCTGAAGCTTTCGTTATCGAAACAGAAAAGCCGGACAGATCTCTGTGTACAGAAAAAGTTCGTTCAACCCCTCCAACTTTCATGGTCTTAATCCCTCTATGCTAAAGTATGGTAATCATAAATCATATTTTGGTTCTACCTATTTTTCGTTTTGTTTATTCAATTTGTATACTCTTCCTGTATTACGTCAACTGTTACTACTACTATTCTCACTGCGAAATGCC